AGGATATTGAGCTGCCACACGAATAAATAAGAATTAATTGGGTTATTATTATTATTAACTTCTATGTGTGCATGTATGTGTATTGTCCTTTCTCACCACGTAATGAAATAACCATTCGAAATGTACTTATTTTATTTTTCTTGCCTGTTAAAGCTAACTTAATTTTTTTCTTGGAATTGTTACTAATTTATTGCTATTGTATAGACTGTTATATTTTGTATTTCCACTTTAATTTTTTATGTATTTCTGTGTACTCGTGCTAACTTTGTAATTGGCCACTGTGCTGTTAAGTTTGCACATAAGTAAACACGAACTGAATTATTATTATTATAGCTGAATGAGGGGCACGCGGGAACCCCAACATCTCACAACCCTGTGGGCCTCCACGGCCTGTTACAGGGATACCTTTACTTTTTTTTACTTTTATTATAGCTGAATGCTGTTGCAGCAGTCATTTTGTGAGCGCATTGGTGAGCTGCCTGTTTCCGTGTCATACTGCACAAGCCTTCAAGGCTCAAGTAATTGAGTTCATGCAGAAACTGCGAGATATTCCTTTCTCCCGGCAAGTACCGCACTAAACGCTGACTGGCTATCCAAATGTGAGCATTACATTTTGTATCGTACGGTCAGCACACGGCTCCTTACAGCGACAAAATTTACATAGTTCTGTGTCGCTAAGGAACACAAGCAGAAACATGTTCATACGCAAATATCTCCGTAAACACTCTTAACCGCCATTGAGTTTACATTATGTATTCCTTCCCCAATTTTTATTGATTTGTTATTAACTGTGTTGGAACTGAGGTTCTGGCATCGGTGAGGGTATTAAGTGTCTATCTTCTGGGATATAACGCCGTGTAGTCTTGTAATAGTCAACAAAAGTTTCGGAAGAATATATATTTATGTTCACCTGTTTAAAATTAAAGAAACTTAGATCGTTGTTCGAGCCTTTTGTTGTATTTAACAAGGCGTTTCGAAAAATTGTGAACTGAAAATAAACATGATAACTCACGTTTGATAACGGTAATTGGTCCACGCCATTGCATTGCTTATACTGCCGCGACCGGATTTCAATTTCTAATAATAGGAGTATTCATCGCAGGGTTGTGTGAACGTAAGAATGGACTTACGACAGGATTCTACACGTCACAAAATTGAATATTTTACTCTTAAACCCTTATATGATTTATAGATCGAATAGATCATTTCACATCAAGATATATAAATGCCTGAAACATTAATAAAGTACACAAATAGCGGGGCACTAATGCATGCAGGGGGCACTAATGCATGCAGGGGGCACTAATGCATGCAGGGGGCACTAATGCATGCAGGGGGCACTAATGCATGCAGGGGGCACTTATGCATGCAGGGGGCACTTATGCATGCAGTAGTTNGCATGCAGGGGGCACTAATGCATGCAGGGGGCACTAATGCATGCAGTAGTCATTTGGATGAATATCATAAAATTGGCTGTAGATAAACATATGTAATTCTTCATCGCGTTTCTTTCCATTGTTGTTAATATTTTTTACTTATGTTGAGATTATCCGAAACAAATTTTTTCCTAGGCACTACAGCCCCATTGGGCCTAGGCCTACCTCCATTAACTTCTCCGTTCACTTAAGTTTTTCTAGATCTTACACATTCGGTAGGACACCTTGGGCGGGTGATCAGCTCGTCGCAAGGCCTCTACCTGTATACAAACACGGAAAGACGCACACAACAAACTATACATCCATGCCCCGAGTGGGATTCGAACCTACGATCCCGGTTTCCAAGCGAGCGAAGACAGTACATGCCTTAGACCGCTCGGCTACCGTGACCGGCATCCGAAATAAATATGATATTAAAATATTTGAAAGAAAAAGTCTCATCAGTTGCAGGAGATATTTCACGTCTTTCAGGGAACCTGAGGTTTCATTATAACACTGAACCTCGTTCTCGAAGGTGGAATCCAAACAACAGAAATTTATCGTGAGAAATTAGTTTTCTTCCGAAACTGTTCAACATAACTCAGTTCTTCTGAGGTTAATATCAAGCCTTATTGGTTTTCTAAAACTGTCGTACCCAGAGCTGTTTAATTGCAAACCTCACTAAGATGACCCTCAATTTAAAGCCTTTTCTATGTAGTGAATATTTGAAAAAACACAATGAAAATAATTTTCGATTTTCTGAAGTGTGATATTCTAATGTGGTTACCTTTACAGGAACATGTGTCATTATGTACAGTACGTGAGTATCAAGGCCAGTTCAATACGTACACGACGAAATGCAATGATAACCTTTGGAAAGAACATTTCCTTGATTGGATTATTTTTTTCAATCTTGATTCTGGTTCCTCAGTTTCTAAGCTTTTTCCACATCCGTTGCTATTTGTAATTCCACTTCGTTTCCTTTTCTGGTATCCAGAGAGAGAGAGAGAGAGAGATGTAAAAACGGTAAATTTGTCCCTGTGCTTAACAAATTAATCTCCACTCTATGAAGGCGTATGGGAGAATGGATGTATAGATCCACATTTTCTTGACCCCGGCACTAGCTGGAGGTGAGTAGTCAGTTTCACGCCCCTGCCGCTTTGCCCCGGGGAAAGGGCCCCCGGTACCCTTTGGATTTAACCCCAGAGCCGGTCTGGACGACTTGGAGAAATTTCTTGGCCCTACCGAGATTCGAACTCCGACCCCTCGGTCGCGGAGTCCGAGAGCGGTGTGTATCCGAAAAAAAGTTGATCTGGAAGGAGAAATTGAGAGACGTCTGGAAGACGGCAAAGAAGGAGAATGTTTTCAGGATGAGAAACTGGCGAGGAAGGATGATTGGACAAAGCCTGGGTGCCGGAATGGTAGTGGATCCAGATATCACAATAAGGAGGTTCTGTAGGTACTGGTTCAGAGAGGGGTTCCGAAGACTGTAATTAGTATGTATGACGGTTCTGTTAATTATGTTGTGTTTCTTCTATGGCCTTTTTATGTAACAAATGATCTAATTTGTGTCCCGTCTGCCTTTCATTCACTAGGAATGAGGTTCGAACCTCGGCCTAGCTAGTATCTAACAAGAGTGAGTTTACTTTCGTCTTCTTCAGTCCCGGACGAAAATTCCACGATTTCTTAAAACGGGCCACTGTTGTTTTCTTCCAACCCATTTCCAGTCCGTAGTTCACAGCTTCAGCAATCATTTGTTCATTTAACAGATCTTTATCAGTTGCAGAAGTTACATAGCGTAGAATGGTAGTGTGATTTGAATGTACAAGTTAGAAAAGTATGGACACAAACCATGCTGTACATCCAGGTAAGCTTGCTCTTTCAACATTTCCTGGAGAGACTAAGTCGGGATAGCTCAGCTGGTGTAGCATAGGCTACGAGTTGGAAGGCCGAGGATCGATTCCCGGCAGGAACAATGCTTTCTCCATTCCACAGGTTATAGGCTTGTCGTGAGGTCCACCTGATACCCTGTCCAATGAGAACCTGAAACTCTTTCCCCGGACGTAAAGCGGCCTGGCCGTGAAGTTGCCCACTCACCACCATCTGGTGCCGAGGCCAAGGAAGGTGAGGCGTTACCTTTCCGCCCTTCAAATGTCTTCACGGCAAAGAGCTTAATTAATTAAGCAAGAGGACAAATTTATCTTTGCGTCTTATTGATATATATTTAATTTGAACTTATGTGAAATGATTAGTGCTTACCTCAAGATGAAACACTACAGAAATACGCTATTATATTACTAGACTTAAAAGTACTATATCCATTAGTCTGTGAGATTAATTTTTATATTTTCAAATACGGAGTAGTAAATTTTGACATTTTTTTTGTGTAACATGTATGAACTTTACTGAAGCTTGGTGTATAAAGGAGGCAATAAAAATTTACATAGATGCAGTTTTTACGTACTTTCGAAATAGTGTATTTCCAGTGCAGTTGAAATCGAAGGGAATCTTGTCCACGGTAACCACAATGGCGACAAATAACCGCAGCTGCTCTAAGATGGATATAAGCATACTTCTGCATTAAAAAAATGCATATTAAAATTGGAACAAAATACTTTTTTTTATTATTTTATATGAACAAGTAATTTAGTCATTTAGCCCAGTTGAGTGGGTACGGGGTGGTCAGTTGGGTTTCATTTTCTGGTAGGGTAGCATTTTTCTGCCAAATAAATCCTAGCCATCCTATCGAAAGGCTGTCTGTACCCTTCTCCTGGGTGCAAGGCAGTGGTGACACGAAGCTTCCCACAAATCTATGGTAATGTTGAAATGGTTTAGTTTAGTTTAGTTTCGTGACGTGGGGTGAGACTGAGTCCACTTGACACTTCGGCAGCTAATTGACCTACTGTACCAGCCCCGGATGATAGATGGCGATGATTGCGGAGCAATCGGTGGAATGAGAATTGGCAAGGGAAACCGAAGAACTAGGAAAAACCTGCCCCAGTGCCACCTCGTCCACCGCAAATCCCACATAACCTGACCTGGACTCGAACGCGGGCCTCCGCGGTGAGATGTCAAGTAACTGCCTGTACTGTGGCACGGGCTAGTGTTGAAGTTAAGTATGAGTGTTATTATCTCATCTTTCCCGTATACTGCCGTGTGTTTTAGTCACCTAAAGGAGATTTTTACTTCTTGTCTCTGTCAGTATATGGAACAGTCTTTCACGTTCGTGTAATAAAACACACGGTTAAAAAGTTTCTATAAATATATTACAAAAAACTGTAGATTACAAACAATAACAAGATATCGTGTACATCAAACTGAACAGGTGAGGCAGTTGTATGGTATTTACATGTGATTCTCCACACAAACAAGCCCGGGGTCTGTGCAACAACGTGCAGAGTTTGTGCCTGGGAAGAACTAAGAAAGAAAGGGGTTAACAAAGCTATTTACAACAGAACCTGTACGCCTGATATTTATATGCAAGTAGTGAGAATGTTTAACGAGAGGCCGCGTCTGTCGTCAAACATTTCACTTCTTGAAGACGAGATCTCTTTCTGCAAGAAACTGGTGTCATGAACATTTGTTTCAATCGTAACCCTGGTGCTCCTCATGGTGCTCCTCGTGGTGCTCTTCGTGGTGGATTGGCACCCAGACATTCTCCCAAACTGGTTTCCAGACCTTCTTCCATTCTGGTACTTGGATCTGCTTCCAGACGGGCACCCAGATTTGTTTCCACTCGTCCTTCCATATGAGTTTCTTATCCGAAACCCACTCTTGTTTCTTTGCCGTTTTCCAAACCTGTACCCATTCTTCCTTCCAGATCAACTTCTTTTCAGCTATCCATATCTCTTTCTTCTCCGTTCTCCACACCTGTTTCCATTCTTCCTTCCACTCAAGTTTCTTTTCCGGTACCCAGATCAGCTTCTTCTCCGATCTCCACACTTTCTTCCACACGGGTTTCCAGATGAGCTTCTTCTTCCAGAGGCCATGTGACGTATACTCCCAGCCTTCATGATCTTTTCCGTGTGATTTGTCACCTGGAACCCAGATCTTTACCCATTCTGGTACCCAAATTTTCTTCCAGTCAGGAACTTGGATTTCTTTCCACACTGGAACCTTTATCTCTTTCCATACCGGTTTGTATACCTTCTTCCATTCTGGTATTTTCACCTCCTTCCAAGCAGGGACTTTGATTTCTTTCCATAAAGGTTTTTGTACCTTTTTCCATGCAGGGACTTTGATTTCTTTCCACACAGGTACTTGAATTTCCTTCCATACCGGAACTTGCACTTTCTTCCAATCTGGCTTCCATATTAATTTAGAAGCTGTTTTCCACACCTTCTTCCACTCTTCTTTCCAGACTAGCTTCTTCTTCCATACGCCTTTGGGCTCGTGATCGTGCACAGGCGGTCCGTAATCTCCTCGCGATATATCGGAATCCACGCTGCAATCAAACGGCATACAGTGTTAGTATCGCTTTACTGAGCGTCATGAAAAGTTGTCAGGTTTCCTGGTAAGTATCCTCCAGGTCTTACGCCGTACTTTCTCCCGTACAGAAAAAAATACTCTTTGCTTTTAGTTTTGCATATACGAAAAGCAATAACAACAATTATAAATTACTTCTCAGATAAATTCCAAAATATTTAAAGTAGCGGATGAGATGAAACGTATAAACTTGGTTGCTATTATGCGTCTCGTTTGGTCCTATTAAAGATCTTTGATTTATAATCAAATATGCTTTCTATTAGAGAAAAATCCATTTTATCCGATAAGTTAAAATGAAATGTGACTTAGAACTGCCGCCTGTGACAGTTAAAATGCACTTATTGGTCCGTCCTATTACAGATTAGATCATCTGGCTATTTCGACTCAAGAATTGTTACCAGCTTCAGTAGGTCTGTATGCACGAAGAAACTGCTCTCTACCCACACGGCTGTGTTGCTGTCTGCATACACAGAGCTACACAATATAGAGGACTGCAGACATAACAAAAATGTATATTCCTGCTTGGAACGAGTTTGGAATCAGCGATTGTATTCCTCGAGAATTCTAAGAACTTACGGAATTCTACATGGAATTCTTTTGTGTTTCGAGCCCTCAGATGTCTTAAACAATATTGAGACTTATAAAAGTAAATATTTTTGTTATTATAGTGAGAGGTAACGCTAGTACTAATATTGATAACACGAATAACAGAGATAGGCATAATAATAATGATAATAACAATAATAATCTTTATTTTTACGCGCTAACTGAACAGCTAATAGACCAGCTGCAGATTTAGCACAAATGTCACAAAGCAGACAGATAAAAGACAACAAACACATGTAGAACAAATACATACATACATACATACGTACGTAGTATGATATTTTACACTGCATACTAGAATCAGGCCGCGTATAAATGTATAACTCATCAGAACACGGTAGCTACCGATTACCAAGATGTCTAACTTGAAGAGTATAAAGTTGAGATTTTTTTCGCGAATTTAGAGCAAGCTTATTTTTGTGTGAAAATGAAGTGTAGAGTGCATTAAAATCTCTGATATTTCTGAGCGTAACTGTGAAGTGGAGAGCAGGCAAAGAAACCATCACAGATTTTCCATCTAAATACTGCCTCAAAACAACGCATTCTCTCGAATAAATTGTGTAGTTTTGAGTTATGCAAAACAGTAATTATAACTGCATTATTTATGATTTTTAAAGATTCTGCTGCAAAGTAAGGCAGAAAACTTTCTCTGGACACGTTCTAATTTGTTGGAGTCAGAGTCTGTAAGAGCATTCCGGACAACAGAAGAATATTCAACTTTCGCTCTACTTAGGCTGATATAAACCTTCAACAAACTTTCTAATGAAAATAATAATAATAATGGCAATAGATTAATATGAAATGCAATTAATAGAAGTCCGTAACACTCTATTTATAATGTCGTATAAGCAGTCTTTGTAAATTGAGTGGAAAACTGGTTGTTATGATTTCACGTGGAGCCGTCTGAGAGGTGTCTGCTTAGACAGTTATTGATGGAATTATGCTGTGGACTGAATGTCAAAGGTCAGATCCTTGGAAGAGAGATTGGGAATGTTCTTTTCGCCACTGGAAACCAGTTAAGGGCGCATGTTGCTGTAGGTTGATCAGCCACCTGCCTGTGTTTCTGAAGGAAACCTCATTTCCGCCTTGTCTTATCTTTACACTACGTCATGCTGTGTTACTCACTGCTTCTTTTCCCTGGCGGGGTTGCTGAGGACCGGCACTGCGAGCAACAGTCCAAAGAGACTCTACGGTACATGAAACAAAATCCAGTACAAGTTAATTTACGCCATAAACACTTCACAGATTAATTCAACAAAAGTGTGAATACCAGTAGCAATATACTGTAAGAGCGCAATATTTATTTATTACTTAAATTCACGAAATTATTATGGTCTGGAAATTTAGCTAGGAAGGGCAGAAAGGAATCCAATTAGAAATATTGTGCTGAACCTTCCGGAAATCGATGGCTTGGAAGATGAAGAATCTGAAACGAAAATTTTAATGTCCAAGAAAGATATTCGTCGCCGTGAGAACTTCATATTTCTCTCTACTCGTATCTTCGGCCCCAGAGCCCTTGACCTTGGNCTTAATGTATACACGGTCGGTAGGACTCCCTGGACGGGGGATCAGCCCGTCGAAAGGCCCCTACCTACACGCAGAATAAACGCACACACAGACATGCCTCGAGTGGGATTCGTACTCACGACCCCAGTGTTCGAGCGGGTGAAGACGGTTCATGTCCTAGACCGCGCGGCCACTTTGATCGGCACAGCACATTTCGAATTCCTGAATTTATGAATCGTGAATGTAAAGGTAAAGTTGACTCGCGATTAATTAGTTAAGCATTGTCACGTAAACAGATAGGATTTTGGTAGCTCCGAACTGCCAATTGTTAAGTGGAGCTATAAGCCATCACATGAAAATGTGTTGTGAGGATACTCGGAATTTCGTGCAGCTGAGACTTCTGTCGCTAGACGCTCAGTACCAGAACGTATGCCCACTGACATATAATTTCTGAACCTGCCATAATATGTTCTTTCTATGAAATTCTTGTAAATATATTACTTCTATAATTCATGTCGAGTTTCTGAGTAATTTGTTGGGGAAATCGGGATTTTGGTTTATGTGTTCGATTTACCTACACATTCACAATTCTGGCAAATATATTTACACGTGTTTGCACAAGTCTGAAGGAATAGTCGATCTTTACAGTAGAATTCTTTGAATAGATGAGCGAGTATTACCTCCTCAAGAAGCACTTTGCTCCACGGAGTTAGGAACAAAGGAACTAATTGATTTATTTCTGTAAAGTGCTTTAGTAATTATTAATCTGACCCAGTATATTTTAAGTTATGTTCCTTTTATTTTAATCATGTTCTGAACACGAAGACTTCTTTAATTTTACTGATCACCTTATGTTTGTAGGCTAACTGTAAATGATGGTGACTCTGCATGTTTCCAAGTGAACACGACGCTGATAGAGAACATGAGGTGTGCCGTAGAGACACGTAGACACGCCTGCCCCCCAAAGTAACTTATACTCTAATCAGAAACAAGTTTTCGTTTTTGAACTCAGCGGAAAAAGAGGTCGTGGCCGGTGCCGCGAATTGCAATGGATATCCTCCACGACTGCGTTAAAATCGTAACAGTGTCGTCTTAATGGGGCATATATTTTAGGGAAACATCTCTACAGGTTTGTACTTTTATTTATCCGAAATACAATATATTCATTTATTTATGTAAAGTGATTTAGTAATTATTAGTCTGACCCAGTATATTTTAAGTAATGTTCTTTTATTATAGTCTTTCTGTGATTTTCTTCGAATGTGGACATTTTACAAATTTAGATAGAAAAGCGATCCAGTGAAATACCATAAAATATTTATATATTAAAAATAATCTTTCAGTGCCATTTTTTTACAGTTTAAATAATTGTCTGTTCATGTATGCTCATTCTTAGTATATTCGTAAACCTATTTACGGACGAAACATCGGTTCATACAAGATCTACACGGCGCCACATCCCAGAAGACTGCATTCTTCATAGTCACTGCAGTGAAAAACTCAAATCTTACCTATTTACGGTTGTCGTTTTACACCTTAACCTATTTTCTTTTGTACACGAGGCTAATTTGGGCATGTTTAAACCAAACTTGATAATTAACTGCAATCAGAACATGCGATTACTTGTACACTTTAAGTGCGTATTTCGAAATATGTTCTAAAACAAAGAAAGTCATTGAAATATTGCCGAGGCATGAAGAGAGTCGACGAGACAAAAGTCATCATGTGGGAGATACGGTAATTTCGTTGTCTGGAAATAAACATAGAGCTATGACCAGCCTTGACCTATTCTAGACCACCGTGAGACGCTAATAGAATAAATCGGGTCGTCGGTCTGGTGATTCATTATCAGGAAATAAACTTGACCTGCTCTTGACGCTGTAGGCTTACAGGCCGAATTACTGGGAGTCGTTAAAAAGTATTGCTACTACCACTTGACCCGCAAGGCCAGTAACAGTTACTTAAGCACCAGTTAGTTAGTGAGAGCTTCATTTGAGAGCTCGTCCAATTGTATGCAGTAGTGGTAACTGAAATTTTACGAACAATGATATCGTATAGAAAAATCCATGGTATATTCCAGGTTTTCATGTCTCTCAATGATAACGTTGATTCTGCTTTTGGGTGAAGGCGCCGTGTAGAACTTTACTGACTCTATCTTGAAGGGAACTTCGCCCATAGCGCACATTTACCAGGTGTTATAGCCCAAATTCTGAGCTCAAAATTGGTTGCAGGAGCACCCATTATATGTGCTGATAATTTAGAGGCTAAAATTGGGAAGATTTAAAACTTCTGCCTAATAATCTGATGCTCTATCAGTTATTTCCTTTTGTGAATAATTAAATGATCCAAAGCTGAATTCGCGTGTCACAAAAATAGTGTAAAGCACGAACACCAAAACCTGAATATCTCACAAACACCGGTGAATATACGTTTCATGCTGTGACCAACACGCAATGCACTAGGCACTTATCCACCACACTGACCAGGAGTATCCACGTCTTCATAGCGGCTGTTGCAGCCCAAAATCTCCAGGCTAAGTTGTCTTCTCGAGACACTGCTAGTCTGCCGAACAGTGACTGAACATTTCAGATAACTCCAGCTTCATTATATACTCGTCATCATGGTTTCATACTTTTGCATTGATTTTCACGTGTTTTTGACTTCTTCTGCTTGCATCACTTTCCCCCGCCAGTGGACGCCGGATAACACTTTATTTTTTCCTTTTACCAGAACCCTGAGGGACGAGAGACTGTGAAAGAGAACGCAGATCAATGCAACTTTCTTTACGGACGATGCAGATTGGGGAGGGGGGACACACATCACCTCCCACCTGGAAAACGTTGATGTTCACATTCGAGCCCGCG